CAATCAAGCAAGCAAGCAAGCAAGCAAGCAAGCAAGCAAGCAAGCAAGCAAGCAAGCAAGCAAGCAAGCAAGCAAGCAAGCAAGCAAGCAAGCAAGCAAGCAAGCAAGCATTAGCAAGTGTATTAGCACCAATTATTATGATGTCTGAAACTTTGTGTAACAAAATGGAGAGAATGCATGGTTGTACGTATAATTATGAAAACTCCAAGATTTCATCTCTTTTTCATATTAAAACTGACCCATTAATCGTTCCAATACCAGTAATGATACCACCAGCTGGTACTTCTTCTTTACCATACAAATCATGACCAGCAAACTGAGAGAGTTCAAGGAATGGCGATCTTAAAGAAAAGATCAATTGAAATTTATTATAAAAATGTGTTAACAAGTAATGAATTTATTAAGCCAAACAAATATCTAGTGTTTATTGCAAAATTTTACATTAATGGTGAAAGTTGTGGTTGGCTTGGCTCTTCTTGTATATTAAACCTCACGAGCCAAATGGAAGGGTAAAGGCCATCAGGCAAACAAGAGGTCAGATGGATTATCTAGATTCTTTGCTATAGTTACTGAGGAAGAACAGCTGGATACTGACTAGCTACACAGTTATGTGGCCACTTCCTTGAGCAATTTGTGTATTGGGTATTAAAAAAAGGGGTATTTTATACATCCAGAAAACAATATCATCGTCGCTAAATATTTATACCCTGGGTCTAGTAAGTTAGCTATTCTTTCCCTTGGCAGCATCTTCCCTCTTGATGTGTGCCTTTTTTGTGCTGTTTCACTTCCACCTAGAAATACRATTATATTTTAGAAGTCAATATTTAGATCATATCAATGAATCTTGCATTATATCTTAAATTGATTCATACACTGATTATAATTAATGAAACTCTGTACAAAACCTTGTTCAATTTTGTGTACTTTATTTCTTAAATCTTCAACCAATTTTTCCATATTCCCTTTGTTTTCCTGCAGCATAAAGTAGTAAAACAATTTCTAGTTCACTTTATATGACTATCATACATAATTCACTAGCTTGAAAGAGTCGTGAGCTCACTTTCCTGGCCTAGATCCCTATTTCAACAATAATTTATATAMTATTTTGAAATATCGACACATTTGAGCACAAAAAGAATGAATAAAGAATGAATACCTTGAAATCTGAAGTATTAACGTCGATTTGGCTCTGTATCRCACTTGCTTTGGAAAGATCGTGGTACATTTTACCAGACTTGAAGAGACAAGGGCGCATAAGCCGAAATAAACATGGATTTTGTCGAACAAAAACCGCTATTCCTCTCATGGTTGATAATTGAATGTATTCTGTCTATTCTTTTTAGTTTTGGTTGCTGTTTTTATATTAAATATAAAAAGAAATAATTTACTCSATTTAGGCCGCCATATTGAATTCTAAACGTGATAGCACATCACAGGGAACCCACAAAGAAAGAATAGAATCCTGGGTTTCCTGTGGTTTGCATGTCGTCGAAGATACAAATGGCGGGTGACCGAAAAACTGTCGAAGAACTTGCAAAACTCCGACTAAAACTGGTGGAAAAGGTAYGAAAATGGTGCCTYGATATYGTAGAAGTATKMTGGTTTATTGTAGATTKTGTCAATTGCAGAAAATCGCCGCCGAAAGACAGAAAAGTGCTCAAAAACAAACATTTGTTGGAAATTTGACAGGTTTGACTGAGTGCATTTTTGTTTTATAATTATCTTATAAAAGATTGTTTAAATTGTCAATTGTATTTAATAGTCGATGCTGGTTACAATGATCCTCACCATGCACTGCAAGCAGAGATTTTGAAAAGTCAGCAACTTTTAGAGCAAGTCCAGGTACTGATTTTTTTAAAATAATATTTGTCAAACAGTAAATTAAGTTTATTATCTTGAATTCTATCTGACTAGTTCGAACTTACATTGCTTTAATTTATTTAATTAAGATGTTGTTCAGTCATTTGAAGCCATTTTTTTTACATTAAAAAGGAGGAAAGGCATCAGTTGAGAACAAGACACCAGCAAAGTGTCCATGGCAACAGTCAACACAGCATCCCYAAATATGAAGTAGAGAAAAGTGATACAAATTCAGGTTGCTACAGAAATACATAAAGTGTGTCAAACCCATAAAATATTCATAAACAATTTTAAAGCTTAAAATATCATAAAAGTTGATGATTTTGATTGATTGCGGACAGTTCACTTGTTAAATATTTTATCTTATATGACAGCATGCAACAGTTGCATGACAGTCACAAGCAAAAAGTAATTCTTTGGTGAAATATTTTTTTATGTTTTGGAGAAGATCATGCTGGCAAGAATTCTTTTGCACTCTTATGTTTTAGTATATTAGTAGTGAATTTTAATGATTTTATACAATCATGTACATGTGCTTATTCACCTGTCCAGCATTCCTGGAAATGTAGGATGCAACTAGAGAGATGTTGTGCTGTGTGTACTATCTAATGAAAGGAAATTGTTTAATACACTCTGACAGAAATCGTGGCGATGGTGTTAGCACAAAGCGTTCAGCTTCAGGGGATGATGTTGAAGCAAATGAATTCAGTACCTCCTCAAAATGACATTGATAGAACATCAAGGTACAGTTGTTAAGTAGAGTTAATAATTTTGATTTTGCAGCACATACACCTTCAAAGTTTTTGAATAGCAATACCAGCAAGAACTGGTTCTTAATGAGGATGTACTTACATGCTAAGTAGTGAAACTGGATTGATTGAGATTTAACAGAATTTAATAAAAATTTGCTATGAAGTAAGCATCATCCCTTATGATGCCTTCTTGGAATAATTGAACCTGTGACTTTAGTTTAAATTGAATTGGCTAGCAATATACACTGCACCATGCCTATACCTCCTCCTCTGTAATAGTACCAGTTTTACCAACCCCCCCGCCCCCTAAAATTTCATAGTATCAGAGCACTGTAAATTGACTAATGGATGTCATACATGTAAGTCATTCAAATCTCCCAAGGCTGCCAGTATGAATTAGTGGAAAATATAAACTATAGTTGTTGTTTTTAGTGTTGGTTTGGGTAACATACATGTAGGGTATTCTTATGAGATAAGGCTGTTATTACCCTATGCTCAACCCCCAACCTGGAGGACCAGGGAATCACTCTTAGTCAGGACCCTACCCTTTGACTTTTTCAGCATGGGTGGTCCTATCAAGAGTTCAATACTCCAGCCAACTTAGCTCTATGGGTCACTGGGCCACGCAAACCACTCCACCACATTAAGGTGGCGATTCCTTCAGAGTAGAAAAAATAGAGTGAACTGGCCTTATGCGCCTTCTGGTGTGAAGAGAAATGATGATGATAAATTATAGTACCCGCGACTTACCTGCAGCAATAATATGATTATTCAATCCTTTTGTTTCTGATTGATTTCTTGTTACTCAGACCAAGAGACGTTGAACAAGTGAGCTACAGAGAAATGACTCCATTTACTTCATTGCCACAAAACAAGCCAGCAGTTAAAGGTGGACTCCTTGATTAGCATTGCTCCTTAAAAAAATCATTTCAATGAGTTAGCTAATAGTATACTGTGATGTTTGCCATGCATGTCATCCCCTGGCAGTGTTCCTCACTTTCTTTGCAACATAAACAGATTTTCTTCTTGTATCTCGGTCCTCACTCTTTTTATTAATTCAAATATTAACATTTTTCCTCATAGCTCCAGCTCCTGTCCTGCCTGCTCCTCCACGTAAAGCAAGTCCAGCCAAGGTGCTGTGATTTTAATTCTGATTGACCTTGTTTGGTGTATTCATAGTCAGGTTCATTGACCACCAGGCTTCAMMWTGCATTTGAGAATAAAACAAAAGCGCCAGGTGCTCATTGTTYRTCGAYGCCTCAGTTCAATGTGTTGTTTGAGGTCACTGAACCAGGATATGGAAAGTTGTAAAATATATCTCCAGATAAAAGTTGCAATAGACTGCAGGGTCAACCAAAGGAGCTTTGGTCTTACAACATGTTGGTTTCAAAGCATAGTGCCAACAGTTATGATAGCAAGCCATATTTTGACAGCAGCTATAAATTAAAATGCAATTTGTGACTTTTGTCTGGTAAATGTGGCAGTTATTGCATACATTGCTTGTGGTACTGCATGTTGTTGATATGAATTTTATGATGTATCTCTTATCTCTCTGATATTTTCAACATCCTTTTTTGTTTCTTACATAGGTTCCAAGAATGGCAGCTACTCCAGTTCGATCAACAGATCATGAACTTCTTCGTCAACCTAGACCAAAAACTAAAACCCCTCCAGTGGCAGGCTTCTTGAACAANTAGATGCAGATGTGTCTTTATATTGAAGCAAGATGATAAAATGAACTTCCAATGATAGGCTATAGTTATTCATTTTCCCATGATATCATTGCAACTTGACTGGTGGTCTTGCTTCAATGTAAAGGCACATTACCACACAGATGAGACAATTCTTTCACCAGATTATAAACTACATTCTGTTAGCAGACATTATAACCCACTTCATGCAAATCCACTCACAATTTTCCTGAATAAGATGAGGAAATATGAGTCCTACAAAAGCATATGGCTGCTTTTTTTTCTTGGTTGTATTTTCCTCTGCAGTAGGTTTTGTTGGTGGCGGATTTGGGTTTTCAAAGCTCCTGTTTCAATTTGATTTAATTTCATATTCGTTATTTGAATCTAGTACATATAATTTATTAATTTGATTTTTAAATTCTACTTATTACGCTCTCCAAGATTTTCTTTGTTTTCTATTTTTCTTCACTTTTTTCAGTTTTTCTTTTCTTTTTTTTATTTTTACTACTTCCTTTCCTTTTCTTATATTTACAATATATTTTTTCAATAATTATTTCTTTACACAGGTTTGTGACATGGTAACATCTTTTAATCCTTGAGTTTTAGTACCCAAAAATGAGGTGATGCCATATATCACTAGCCAATCCCCTTAGCTAAAATTTTGATTTCTCATTGTAAAATATGAATCCCTGATCCTATCCAGCATGCCCTGCTTTACATATTTGTAAATGGCAGAAATAATCTTTCCTTATTCTTTCAAGTAGAAATATTTCTTCTGTTGTTTTTATAGCCTGTTTATAATATTCAATAATATCACATGTTTCGACAGATCCCCTCTGCATTACTCACCATCCCAAGTGAACTCCACATTGTGGACATGTTGCAATTTTCCATGCATATTCAGGAAACCACGAATGCTCTAAGTGTGCCTAAAAACGTCATTTTTGTACATTGGGTAMATTTGCATTGTTTAACTTAATAAGTACAAAACAAGATGTGTCAATTAATTAGGACTGGCTGCTTGGCATTGTCTTGAATCATGCCCAGTCTCATAGATTCAAAGTCACATTATAGCGAATTCCATACCTTGCCATGCAGAAGAAGAGAAGCTGACTTTGCTGTAATTAATTCAAAATGGTGACCTAGATTTAATGAATAATACTTGTCATTCACAACACATTTAATCTTAAGACAGAGAGGAGGGGCAGCTATAGCCTCCTCCGCAGGCATCACTAAGAATCATGGGCTTCCTGTCTTTTTGAGGAGTCAAAAGAGGGAGAATGGGGGCGAGACGTCACTAGTCCCTAACGGCCAAAATGACCGTTACAAAGGAAGCCCAAAGGAGGAAAGAGTTGCCTGTGGAGGAGGCTAGGGCAGCTACTATTCAAGGCAGGGTATGGTTGGTGAACAAGAGGATGGGGCAAGGTAGGGGATATCCAGGGGACAAGGAGAGAGTGAGGGACTGGTAATTTACTACATAGATGCTAGGACATGGCTGGCCCTCCTGTCCCCCAGTGCCCCAGTGGGGATCAAGAGGAGGAGACAAAGACAAGTAGGGCATGGCCAAATGAGACAGAAACAGATAGTTTGCAATATGAGACATTAAAGATTAACCTCAGGTGTTAGACAGTACATATTGACCTACCAATTGGATTTTTAAACAGCTGTACAAGACATCTTTTGTCACCCACTATCGTGTCATTTCTTTGTCTCAGGGCAAGATTGCTGCCAATATTGTGTATATGATCAGATGATGTAATTTCATGACCACACTGCCGGCACAATAATTTCTCTGTTAATGAAAAGGCAGCAATTATCAAATAAAATTAATTGTATATTGTAATCATTTGCCAAAAAAAAATCAAAAAACACAAACAAAAACAAAACCAAACCAAAAACAAAACAAATAATAATTTAAAGAAGGATATTCTATTATGATATTTTTTAAAACTTCTAAATTAGCCTGGGACATTTGTTACAATAATACAGTAGGGAATATGCATTAAATAAATTAAATAAAAATTATCTATATTACATTTAAGATTTTTGTAATAAATTGAAACTGTCAAATTTACATTCATGTTTGTTTAATTCAAACCAGTGAACAAGAATTTTTCTGGTAGATTGAAGTGATTTTTTAATTAAAACCATRATCTGATTGTGAAAATTCAGATTTTGAAAACAAAATATTAGCTGAAGTTGAATATTTTATTTAAAATATTTAATTAAAAATTACCTGGCTTCTATTAAATTGTAAAATTGGCCAGTTCCTAAATGACCAAAATCAGAGTTTTTGCAATATAGAAAATGTAAGATTCAAATTACAATTTTATTTAAAGAGGCAACAAACAAATGACAGACATTAAGTAAATTGCTGTAGTTGTATAAAAAAATCAGCAAAAAACAAAACCAACAACAAACAAACTCATGGTATTTTGTTTTTCAAGTGTGGGATGTACAGTTATACTGTTGATTTTTTATTTGTTATTGCATTGTCTATGYTTAATACAGACACAGTCTACATTGTAGCTATATTTTACTATTCATTTGTCTATAAGTTCTTTTACTAGCAATTTAAGCCTTAAATCATAGTATATACATGTAGTAACTTTACAGCAATTAYGTACTCTTATCTTGGCATATCATTCTATTGAATCAAATTTTGCATATAATTTAAATTTTCGAGTGCAATGGGTATATAATTTATCTTAGTTTCTTAAAATTTTTTTTGATTTATTCAATTTTTAGATTAAAAATCTATTTTTTTAATTTACATCACTTTCCCCTTTCAAACCACAAGAAATACTTCAAGTACATGTAAGGGAAAAACTGCAAATTGAACAGTTTTCTTTTTTGGAWTTTTTTCAATCTCTTTTCATAATGTGAATTAACAGTAACACATTTCAATTTYACTCTGTCTAATTCATWAA